TTTCCCTTTTCAAAAATAATTCATTATTGCGTCATAATTCAATTAAAACCCATATAAGTGATTTAATCCGATTTAATCTTTGAAAATTCATAACTAATTCATCTTAGCTCGGATTTAGTTGGTTCAAGTCTCTAAATTTTTCTAAAATTGGGATCTACATGTTAAAAATATCCACATGTACTGTTCATGCTTGTTTATGTGCTGTTTGGTGATTTTGATCCTTTCTGTTTAGATTCCGACGTTTCCGGAGAGTCCGTTTTTGCAGGAGAAGAATTTGAAGAGTTCCAAGGCCAGCAAGGCAAGTCACACAGATCCCAAACATCCCTTTGAGCATGTTGATCCCGTTTAAAGCTATTGTTTCTATTCAACTATTGCATTTATTTTCGAATGTCATTGGGTGGAATTAACCTATTGTTTGTTATAGCCCTTTTGTTCTTGATTACTTTATTCCTTGATACCTTGGGTTATTATAACTTGACTAGTTGGGCTTTATATATTGGTTCAGCTAGATATTAGATACGATTGCTTAGCCATGCTTAGAAACATTAGCACACTATTGGGATAACTTATGACTCACTATTGTTTAATGATGGCTTAATGATAGCTCATGATAGTTAATCGTGATTGGTTAATTAATTAATTTGTCAACTAAAACTTGATAATGGTGGGTTGTGAGCACATGGTTTTGATGGTCGTGCTCATGACAATTAAGGACTGGTTCACGAGTTTCGGTTGTGAAACATTAACCGTGCCAACCACAAGCCAGCGTGGGCAACGGCTTTACCTTTTGTATAACATGGTTCATTGCGGGGCACCAGACTGAGAAGTGGCAGAGATAAGCCCACGGGGGTCGCTGGGGAGTCCATGCCTTGTTTATAAGGGGGTGATTATGATCCAGGAATGGTGCGCTGTGGTGGATTGTGTTGTGCGAGGGGTACTGTCACAGCCCCTTTCTGAGGTACCGTGGTGGTATTGAGGCGCATGGTGACATGTTGTGGGGCTGTATCTTGTGGGTACAGTGGTATACCTCTGGCCAGAGTAAAACTATTCGAATAGCCATGCCCGCAGTTATGAACGGGTCTAACAATGTCTTTCGTGATTAGTTTCACACTTCTCACCATAATAAAAGATGCTATAACTGGTAATAATTTGATTAGCTCCTGGTTTGGAATGGTATATTCCTGGTTTGGAGATAGAACTGTGCAGCCGGGATGGTTGTTCAGAATGGTTGGGCCTATGCAACAGGGTATGTTGTATAGCGTTGGATTAATATTGTTTAATTACTACTTAACTATTTTATTAAATTCTGAAATGTTTATTAAATGTTGTTTATGCAAATGAAACCCTACTATGCCATCCTTTGTTATCCTGTGCACTTGCATATTTGCTGCGTGGCTTGCTGAGTATGTCATATACTCACCTTGCAATCATTCATCAGAGGAGGAGTTCTACAGTGATGCTGATGGTGTGGAGGATTAGGTGTAGCCCTGGTCAAGCTGCCTGTGGAGTGGAGTCGTCTGCGCCGTTTATCTTATTTTTCCGCTGCTTAGATCTTTATTGATTGAGAGGAACTATCTACCTCTGTAATGACATTTTATTCGCTTATTAATTAGAGTAATGATTGTACTCTATTATCAATTTGTTATTGTGTACCTCGGCTGATTCCTGGACGAGGGTTTACACACATGTAAGTGTTTGGAATTTTGGATAGAAATTCCGGACGTGACAAGACGACTGTGTTCGTTCTAGCTCCAGCTCCCCCGCCTCGTTTTTTGCTCGCACGCTTACTAAACTGCTAAAAGATGTGTTTTTATAAAAAGTTTCTATACGAGAGTTGCTTAAAAAAATCATATTGATCTATTTTTGAAAAAAATAATAGCTAATACTAGGTCCCATTCTTTTCTCCAACAAGAGTTGGATGAAGATTAAGATTTTCGTGGCACGGTTTTCAAATTGCTAAATGATACGTTTCATGCAAAAACTTTCTATATAAAAGATACTCTAAAATATCATATTAATCTAATTTTTAAGTTTGTAATAATTAAAACACAATCTAGTATCACCTCGTTTTACGTAAAAAACTTAATATTCATCTTCATGAGAAAAGAACACCACCTTAATTAATCACGTGCTAATAGATCGCTCCGTTTTCTGTGCACACTGTTCTAGATAGAACCTCCAGCAACAAACAGATCGTTAAGTGGCTAAAAAGGGAAAAAAATCTGGTGCAGACCGGATGCAAACAGCAGTCCGTGCAGCCCCGACGCGGATGCATGACGCGTGGATGGGGCGCTCATCCGACGGCCGGCCCGCACAAGCGAGTCCGCATCGCACCTCAATCTCAGCTCAGCTCAAGAGCGATCTCAACACACCACAACTCGGCTCGCGCTCGCTCCGATCGGCTCGATCTAGTCCGAGATGCAGTCATCGTTCCCCTCCGCCTGTTTCTTATCCCGTCGCCCCTTTCTCATCCGCTGTTGGGCGCGTGGAGACGGAATGCGGCGGCGGCTCCCTCGGACAGCTAGGGCAGTGGTGGCGCCCTCCCGTGCCTAGAGCAGGGCAGTGGCGGTGCCCTCCCATGCCTGGAGCAGGGTAGCGACGGTGGAAGGGCCAGGCGGCACCCTCCCGTGCATTGGGAGTTTCATAGTTTGATTGCTCGGTTTTGGTTTTCATTGCGGTAGTTAATCATGGTCACTAGATTCTGGTTTGATTGCTCAGTTTTGGTTTTCATGTGATTAGGTAGTAAGCCTAGCATCTATCATTGCAGCTTGATAGTGTTAATTAGTACTAGTTTGAGACAATCGGTTTTTGTTTTGCATAAACAAAACATACATTCTGTCTTGGCAACTCGCTCGGTGCCTGGCCGACCAATCATCATATCAGTAAAATTGTTGGACATTTTGCAAAGTGGGGTAGTAGGCTCACATCAAAATTGACTAGGAATAGGTCACCAGAAAACAGGCAAAAATCTGAAACTTGAGTATCACACTGAATAAATTGCATAGTGGAGGAGTAAGATATGTTGCATGTTGTATATTCAGCTGTGACACTTCCACTGAAAATAGTTGAAACAACTAGAGAAACATAAGGCTTTGGCTTCCCCCTGACAAATCTGAACTGAACCACCTGGTGGCTTCTCTTTTTCTGTCACTACAAGACAGAGCCAAATCTGAACTGAACCACATTTGGTTTCTCTCTTTTTTCTTTTATATGCACTACATGGCAGCACAATCAGTTGCAAAAATCAGATATTTGTTCTTGGCACACTTGGCAGCTGGCAACTTGAGGCCAATGCAGAATTGCAGGTGAGATATATGGGGTGCGGCATGAATGGCAATTGAAGATTGGAAGAGCATGAACGAGAGGATGCTGAAGAAGTGACATAGAACAATCAATGACAAGATAATGAATGTAGCCTTTCTTTGTAATTCCTACTATGTAGTATATACACTATTAGGAGTTTGTAAAGATTCAGAACACCTTGTATCCTGAGAACTAGTTTTGCCAGATGTCAAGTTATCCTGAGAACTATTGTAACCTTGTGCAAAATACAAAAGAGGAAAATTGATTGCCTAAAAGGATTGTAAATGCAGCAGGCAGAAGTGGATGGTGCTAAAAGGATTGTAGTTTGATGAATGTAGCCTTCGCTGTTAATCCATACAATGTAGTCTGTACACTCTTAGGAGTATGCAAGGATTGTAGTCCAGATGCTGTAAGTTTGGACCGCATTTTTGGTCAAATTGCAAGGAAACTCAGATCGCTATGTAATCTGTACAATGTATTTCTTTTATTTGAAATACATATGGCATGTTGGATGTTCTGAAATCTGCAATGTGATTGATGCATTGAAAATTTTGATTATTCATCTGATTCCTTTCAAAAATAAAATGAAATATTGTGTGATCTGAAATCCTGAAGTTCAAATCTAGAATGTGATGTCTAGAAGCTGGTCTTTCAGAAACAATGTAGATAATTCATATCTCATACATAGCTACCAAATTCATGGATAGAACTGACAGCGTCAATGATAGTTTAGTGTAACACGATGCAAAATGAAAATCTATTCAAAAAAAGCCTACTCATTGTAGGTTGAGCCAAATGCTATTAATTGAAATGTAACTTTCTAGCAGCCATGGCCGAATCTTGCTGAACTCCAAATAAAAGACTTGTAAATCCGCCTTGGATTAAAGGAGCATCCATGGTCGAGGATTGCCCAAACCCATCATATGCAGCCATTGTCGAGGATTGCCCATACACATCATATGCAGCCATGGTCGAGGATTGCCCACACACATCATTTGCATCCATGGTCGAAGATTGCCCACACACATCACCAACATCTTCATCTTCATCTTCTGATGCATTATTTAGATCTTCTCCTATATAGTTCAAACATACAAAATATCTGAGTATAAAAAAATTAATTATACAAGCATACAATGGGAATAAACATGCCGGAATGGGTAGGATCAGCACCTTTATTCTTAGCAGTTTTTGTTTTCTTCCGTTTCTTCTTTTCAACTGCATCTTTTGATCATCTACTCTTTGGGCCTTTGACCAATCGAGGAACTCTAATTGATATTGCACCATTTAATGTGTCCATAACACAGTCATTTGAATTTAGAGGAACCTCACATGTTTTTTCTTTCATCTTGCTTAGAGAACTATCTGCCTCCAAGTCCAAATTATTTATGGCTTTCTCCAAATCATCAAGAAGTTCTTTCGAAACTGAACATTTCAAAGCGATGGATGTTGCCTTTCGAGAGATACGTGCAGCATGTGTTTTCAAAGTTTCCTTCTCACTTCCTTGTTTATCAATATTAAATCCTTTTTTCGCATATTTTGTCCACCTGTTGAGTAGATATTGAGATGGCATAGTGAAAACTTCATTCATATTGAAGACTCTAAGGGCATGCTTGCACAATATACCTATAAGATGTGGATGCCATTTTTTCAGATGTTTGTATAAAAAAATTATAATGCGATTTAAAGTGTGCATACATACCAATGGACTCGTACTAAACTGAACACAAGCATCACAACTCGTCCTAGTAGTGTCTAGTGATGACTTAGTCTATCGTTGTCCTTGGTTACTACAAACTATATATTTCTAGTATATAGTTCCATCGACTCGGTGCTTTGCTTGGCTCTTTCTAATACTGAACCCAATCTTCCCGGCATAGGTGTTGTACATATCATACGCTTTCTGCTTTGAATCAAAAGCCATTCCAACTTGAGGCAAGATCAAAGTTTGTGCAACTTTATCATTGGCCTGTTGTACGATAAATGAGTTATATTACCACAGTATGAGATATTCTGTTTTCCATCGAATTTGCTATTAAATTATCGTTACCTGATTTGGTGCTTTATCTGCCATCTCTTCAGGTACTATGCGACAGAGTGTGTTGTCATCACCATTAGCGTTGGCATCGATAGCGCCGGCAACATCTTCTTCCATGGTCATAAACTCGGAGATCTGTGCAAGATGATCATGCACGATATGATCACACATCGGTACGTATAAGCCACACATCAGTATTTGCGATGAGGGCATGTAAGACGATCACTCACGATCATGCATGCATGTACTGATGAAAAAGCATGAGTCAATTAGCTAGGCAATGTACCTGCGTTCTCTGCTTGCCATCGGCTCCACGATCCCCAACGATTACATCGTGTTCATGTGAAGATTGTCCTGCCATGTCGTGCGCTACGGCAGGCAAAGGCTGCACCAGATCAGACGACGGCACCAGAAGCCCGGCGGCGCCTGTGCTCTTCTGCTGGACTCCTCGTCCTGCCATGTAGCGAATCTGTTTTGCTCTAATCGTCCGCCTCTAATCACGCCCTACCCAATGTAATCCTGAGCCGCGCAAGTCGAGCTGAGGGAGAACGACCTGAGTCGAGCCGTGCAGGATGCGGACTCGCTTGTGTGGGCCGGCCGTCGGATGAGCGCCTCATCCACGCGTCATGCATCCGCATCGGGGCTGCACGGACTGCTGTTTGCATCTGGTTTGCACCAGATTTTTTTTTCCAAAAAAAGAGTGCTAACTCAGTGCGATGGATCCTGCATGCATTCCACGTTTCATTACGTACTCTCTTTCTATTGTTATCCTCTCTACCCAAGTCACCAACTCACCACCATTGCTTTCTACATCGCCTCTCGTTTGGGAAGACAACTTCCACACTCCCAGCCATAGCGGCATACACGGATGCATCTAGCGCACCCACCGCAGCACCGCTACGGCGCTCCCTCATCTCGATCCCCCGACGGAGACCTGGACCGAGGAGGTGACCGTCGCCGGCGCATCCCCGGCTTCCCCGCACGAGTGCCGACTGCGCCCGTGCATCTCCCGACTCGGCTGTATTCTCTTGTCCCTCCACAGATCCACTCCCGAAGATGCTTGCCTTCTGTTGCTGAAGATACGTGCTGGTTGGTGCTGCTAATGCATTCTTGATGTTCTTGTGTACCTGTATAGTGTGTCCGTGGATCCGGCCGCGTAGATCGAGCAGCCATCGCCCCCTCCTTCTCCTCATCGCCCAAAACAGGTGACACCGTGCCGGCGGCAGCCTGCGGCACTGTGAGTAGGGAGATGGAGATATTAATCTATTTTTTCTTGCAATTGTTTTCTGGGATTTTTTTCTCCAATACTTCGAACTTTTCTAGATGAGATCGCACGTTTGTACAAAAACCCCTCTCATAACTTGTAATTTACATTTAGGTCCACAGGACGGTTTTTCACCATCGATACGTCATCTAACGGCTGTGGATAGGTGCGTATACGTGGCACTTTCTACAACCAAGAATCAGGAGGAGAGCTCCACAAGAGATGCCATGTGGCCCAATTAGAAGCCTGGGATCTGACCCTGAAATCGGTTTATAAGATAGGAGAAATCTAGGGGGACAGCTAACGCGCTGTTAACAGTGAAATTTGGTAAGCCCGGAGTAGTCATCGGCTTAGAGTCAGCATCGGCTTTGAAGTCCTGAAATTAGCCGATGAGATTTGTCAAGTCGTCAGTTGTCGGATTCTTGCTATATTCGGTTAAGGAAATTGATCTACTAAAGGAATCTTATCCAGAAGAGACCGAGTTCAAAGAGAATGCGGCATGGCAAGTTATCCATTAATTAGGAATAGTTTGTTAGTTTCCTTTTATCTTTAGGAAAGTGTGTTTAGTGTCCGATAAGGACTTTATCTTTTCCTTTTATCTTTAGGAAAGTTTCTTTCTTGTCTGATAAGGACTTGTATCAACCCATGGGTATAAATATGTACACCCAGGGTCTATGTAATCTATCTTCACGATCAATATAATTCGGCGCATCGCCACCTTTTACCTTTTTTACTTTATTTTATCGTCCAGCGTGACTTGGCACCTGACGCGGGGCTGCATCGGTGTTCGATCTCCGGCTAAGGGGTAAGTCCAATGTTCCGCCGGCCCAGACAATTGTATCGTTTACGTCGGCGTTGTTCAAGGCTGCATCAGTACATTCGACCTCTTCGATTGCTCTGGTTTGGATCCTATATTTGCCTAACTATTTATCATATGTCTCTGTTAATCTAGTCTTAGCATATCAGTTTAGCTCTATCAACTGCTTCTCATTTTAGGGTTTCTGCCGGTATCGGCTAAATTGCGTTGCTAGATTAGATTAGCTTAGACATCTACCACCCTGAAAACTCAGTCAACGGCTTGATTGTCTAGATATTATGTTTCTTTTCATACTTAGTGCTGCATCAGTTAAGTTTGATCTACTAAGTCGTGCTTAGAACCATAATCTCTAGCCTGCTTCTTGATTGCCAATAAGGGTTTCATCGGAGTTTCAGCCGGTGAGTTATCTGGACGTTGCATCGGCTCATGAGGATTGCATATACATATAAGTTGGATTTAGCCGATGACAACAAATGTTTCACTGTTTAATCTAATCTTGTGGATTTCATGACATTGGACCTTCAGCCGATGTGTGCTTTAACCTTCGGATCGATGCTTATTTATCATATCACTATTTACCGATTGGTTTATACTGGATTATATTGTTATTTTATTACATCATCATCAACCGATTGCCTTTATATCATCATCTACATTGGATATATAGCCGATTGCTTAAACTCTATTGCTATCGGCTGGTATCGGCATCGGAGAGAGATAGGTGGAACTGAGGAAGAGAAGAGGGAGGAGAGAGATGACGTGGCATCCTGACATGTGGGGCCCACGTGGGTCCCACACTGATTCAGCCACCACGTAGGACAAAACCGGGGTCAAAACCACCGAAGGATCTATTGTAACCGGTTTTGATTAGTTAAGGGACGCCGGTTATCTGGTTTTGCGGTTGGGGGACGATTTTGTAACTCGATGACAAGTTGAGGGACCTTCGGTGTACTTTTTGCTTCAATTGCTGCATGGATTGGGACACCAGGGCCCAAGGATTAATGGGCTGAAATTAATTTTCCCTCAAGGTAATAGTAATATGGGCCAAATAGGGTGGCCTGGTCGAAACCTTGGCCCAAGCTTGAGTCAATCCCCTATAAACAACACATTCTAGCAACTCTAAAATCTCGTTTAATTAATGGGTTTTATGGGATCCTTGGAATTCCTTGTCAGAAAGCTCAAACAACATAAATTAACCACTTCAGAAATATAGGCATCTCTTACCATAGATAGATGCCAGGCTATAACTCATGCACGACGAATTATTAGTCTTATATATAAAAAATAAACATGATACATAATGTAACTAATCCAGATTCATATCCTGTAGTTGTTAGATTTGTTTGTTATCGGACGGATGAGAAGTACTAAAGTTGGTGGGTACATATACATACAAATTCATTATCTTTCCCGCCGCTCTTATAGTACGCATCAGAATCGTTTCCTTTTCCCGTTCACTTTGGAAATTAACTAATGTAACCACCAAATTAAGCTTTAAGTAATCAAGTGTCCTACACATATGCAGGGGACAGAGCATAAAATATAACTATATGTTGATCTCATGCATGCAAATTAAGAAAGTAAGAAACGATAACTATACGAGTAGCTATAGCTACCTTGTGCGCTGAACTAACATCATGCAAAGAAAAGCAGCGAAAGCAACATGCTTTTCAAGGTCAATAAAGTGGAGCAAAAGTGCCACCGGCCAAGTAGTTTCTAGCTAGTTTTGTTTCAAAGCTATTAGTCGTGTCCGTACCGGTTTGAGGCGCCGCTAATGGGATCTCCATAGCTATTACATGCATGTATGGTGGGGTTACGTTTTCGCCTTTTCGTGACGTAGGAGATGAATATTGAACGTCGACGTAGTAGTTGGTATAAGGAAAAGTGGATCGATATCTCGTTGGATCCGGCCAGTTGCTTGTGCCCATACTTTAGGTGTTGGGTGGCTAGGTGATCTTGGTGTGCACGTCGCAGCTAGGTAGAGCGCAGCTGCTAATTACACGTTAGAGATGGAGAGTGTTCTATATTATCGTTATTGATGTAGTTCATCGATCATGCCTATCTGTCCTTGTACTTCCAATTAATGCAGGTGATGAAGTGATCCTAGTGTTATTAAAATTGCACCATGAGACAAATGAAACACTGAGCTACCTCAGTAAGAAGTTTTATTTATAGTAGAGATAATTGTTGCCTCTAATTTTATCCATATCATCTACTGTAACATATACAATACACTACCGCTACATATAATATACAACTCCAATTCACAATATAGTTTTTTTTAATTATGCATTTGTACCCAATACAATTGCATACACAATAGTTATTTAATTATCTAATACACAAGAACTACTCTATTCATTTTCAGTTTTTGATTTTGTGTAGAGCGTGCCTCTTACATGAGAGGTGACTCTATTTCTCCCACTCCTCTCTGCTACCCTTCACCTCACCATTTAATTCTATGTGTCATGTAGGGATATGTAATTAGATGTCCACAGTACTTGCTATAAGTTTTGAGATACCAAAAGTTATTTAAAGACAAAAAAATTGTTTTGACTTTTTAAAATATATATTTTTATCTCATTTTACCTCCAACACTACTTAAAAGTACCCCTAAACTGGGACATATATTTTTCTCCTTGATATGTTTTAAGTTGAAATTTTATAGATCCTATATGACCAAGTATATCCTACATTAGAACAATATTTTTTAAAGTTGTCATGGCAGCTTGGTGTTGTTTTAGAAACCCCCGCTCCCCTTGATTTAAATAAGTCTCCTTCTAGCATGTGAAAAAAATGATTAAAAATCTCAAGATAAAGTTTATCCTAAAGAGAAAATTCAACTTAAAGTACAACTGAGGCAAAAAATAGTAGTTTATGAGGATATGGAAGAATATAATAGTTTGGGAGAGTACAATAAAATTTTCGGTTTTGCTAGCTAACTGTGACAGTTTTCAGGACTAAAAACTGTCATTTTTTTTTTGCCGTTGATTTCACGCTAAGATTTGTGCTGAGATATTTTGCTATCGGATCTAAATCCTCTTTTCACAAGCTAGTCCCATCATCACATGTTTATGGTAGATCTGTTCAAGTTACATCTAAGTTACATTCTAGTAACATGCTTGTTGCATTGCAGTTACACTGTAGTTACATTGTAGTTACATTGTAATTACATTGTAACTATAGTGTAACTACACTATAACTACATACTACATTGTTATCTCTATATAAATTAGATATAAAGTTGCATATATTATTTTAATATATATATAAGTTATTATTATTATAGTATAGTTGTAGTGAAATTATATACTATAGCTAGATTTGAAAGTTTCCCCCTTAAAAAGCACTCGACAGTTTTTTAGCTAATCTCTAAAATTTTTCCTTATACATCATATTAAACT